GCAGGGCAACGTGTTGCAGCTGACAGCTGTAGCAGCAATAGGTGCACGCGCGGGGCCGCAAATCCGGAGCTGGACGTCCGGCTCTGAATTAGTGATGCTGCGACTGCGCTAGTCTCTGAAAAAACACATGTTGCGATGCACGCCCGCCTGTTATTTCAGAACGAAGCGCATTCGCTGGTCCACAGATTCGGAGCTGGACGTCCGGCTCTGAATTAGTGAACCTGCGCGTGCACAAGGCCACTGTTTCAGTCCGAAATTTTGCTCACTACCGGTCGGTTTTCTTAAGGTTTGAATCCAAATGTCCTCGAATTAAGTTCGGAGCCTCCAGGATTGGTGTGAACGACGGGGGCATTACTATAAGTCCGTGTCTCAAATACATGAAGGGATGTTTGTATGAATCCCGGCAAGGCACACTTTAAACAGAATCAAGACCGTCCTGCGCCCCTGGTGGCTCCCAACACAAGCAATAGAACTGAACCGGTCCCATGTCAGGACACATCGAATCTGAAATCTGATTACGCAACCTGAACCATTAGACTTACACCTAACATCCCAGTGAGCTGTGGTGCTTCTGCAGCACCAGAATCAGAACGGTACTTCGGCAGCACCGTCTCATTGAAATACGATTGAACAAGTATAAACCGTGGCACACCCTCAGACCAGCCTCTTTTGACAAAATGAATGAACTGATCTGGCACTTGCCAAGACCGCTACCTCATTGAAATATGATTGGAGAAGCCTATAAACCTTGGCACGCCCAGCCTCAGACCAGCCTCTTCTGACAAAACGAATGAAATGATGTGGCACAGCCTCTTTTGACAAAAAACTCGGGCCGCGAGACCCTGAATACTGGTCTTTGGGATCCTAAATCCTAGTTTCGGGGCTTTGTTGCGGTTTAGGGTTTAGGGTTTAGGGTTTAAATAGGGTTTAGGGTTTAGGGTTCAGCAGCTCTTGGTCGAGCCGTTTTAAAGTCAAGTTGAATTCATAGTTATAGACATATCACCCAGCCACCCTTAGAATCCCATAACATTGGGGCTAGAAAGTTTTTCTACTCCAACCAATGCTTGAATCTATTGTTAGTCTTATCTGTGTCAAACTCAAG